TTTTGCTCTTAGTTGTACTTTACAGTGAGAAAAGCATGGCGGTTGTCATTGCTGATCTCTCTCTAGCATGTTAAGTCCCTGGCTGTCAAGCAGGTGCTTAGATTCATGTTTTGTGACCTCAGAAATGAAGAATTTTGACACTTTGATGAACTCGTTTATAGCAGAACATGTTGGTCTGTGACTGAAAAGTATTGACGCCAGTAACTAACCACCAAAGGCAGCCACTATAGTTTTCATATAACAGTGACACTTTAAAATAGTATCTGTCACCAATTAAAAATAATATGCAGGTAAGGGCACAGAAAAATGCAAGTATTTAAAATGATTATTTGTATAATTTTTCTTTTTCATAAACAACTTTTATTGACTTGCAACGTGCCTTTAAACGTGCTGGGTAATTGACACTCCTTCCTTGTACATCATAGCTCTGTCCTTTTCTTGAAGCTTCTAATTACTCTCTGTGCCGGCCCAGCTCCTGTCTCTCTCTTCACTTCCCTACATAACATTTTATGAGGCTGCCAGAGTGAAGCGAAATACTATAGAGCAGTGGTCCCAAAACTGCTGCTCAGGGTCAGATGTGGCCCTCTGCTTGCTTTTTTTCTGGCCCTTGGGGCAATATTTCAACCACTGACACCAACAATGGGGAATAATTCCCCCGACTGACACCAACAAAGGGGTATAATTTCTCCCATTGAAACCAACAAAGGGGCACAGTTCCTCCCAATGATGCTAATGATGGGGCACAGTTCCTCCCAATAACACCAATGATGGGACACAATTCCTCCTAATGACACCAATGATGGGACACAATTTCTCCTAATGACATCAATGTTGGGGCATAATTCCTAGTAATGACATCAATGTTGGGGCATAATTCCTCCTAATGACATCAATGATGGGACACAATTCCTCCTAATGACACCAATGATGGGACAATGACAATTTCTCCTAATGACATCAATGTTGGGGCATAATTCCTCCTAATGACATCAATGTTGGGGCATAATTCCTTCTAATGACATCAATGATGGGGCACAATTCCTCCTAATGACTTCAATGTTGGGGCACAATTCCTCCCATTGACACCAACGATTTGGCATAATTCTTCCCAATGACACCAGCAATGTGGCATTGACTCCCACTGATGCCAGGATATTTTCTACTCTCAATGGCCACAGCCCGGCCCCCCTAAAGTCTGAAGAACAGTAAACTGGCCATTTGTTTAGAGCATTTGGAGACCCCTGCTATAGAGTATCACTTAAATGACAGCTCAGAGTTTATTGAGGCTGACATTGCATTCAAGATGGTGGCACCCAGCAGCAGTCTCAAGGCTTTTAGATGTCTACACAAGAGAGACTTTTACAGGTAAATACTATGCAAGATACAGTCAGGTCCATAAATATTGGGGCACATCGACACAATTCTAACATTTTTGGCTCTATACACCACCACAATGGATTTGAAATGAAACGAACAAGATGCACTTTAACTGCAGACTGTCAGCTTTAATTTGAGGGTATTTACATCCAAATCAGGTGAACGGTGTAGGAATTACAACAGTTTGCATATGTGCCTCTCACTTGTTAAGGGACCAAAGTAATGGGACAGAATAATAATCATAAATCAAACTTTCACTTTTTAATACTTGGTTGCAAATCCTTTGCAGTCAATGACAGCCTGAAATGTGGAACGCATAGACATGACCAGACGCTGGGTTTCATCCCTGGTGATGATCTGCCAGGCCTCTACTGCAACTGTCTTCAGTTCCTGCTTGTTCTTGGGGCATTTTCCCTTCAGTTTTGTCTTCAGCAAGTGAAATTCATGCTCAATCGGATTCAGGTCAGGTGATTGACTTGGCCATTGCATAACATTCCACTTCTTTCCCTTAAAAAACTCTTTGGTTGCTTTTTACATTTCAAATCCATTGTGGTGGTGTATAGAGCCAAAAATGTTAGAATTGTGTCGATGTCCCAATATTTATGGACCTGACTGTATGCATGTAACATTATGGGAAGATGGTTGTTAAAATGAAGTGTCTGAACACAGGGTCACTTTCATTACAATGACTATATGCAAGATGCAGTAACAGCCTTTGAAATCATTTCTTCATTAATTCAGATACAGAAAGCTGAAATCTAATTGCTTCCTATGAGTTCCCATCATAGTTCTTTCACATTCTGCCACATTGTAAGTGTACATGAAAATAAAGATGTTTTCTGAATGGCCTTCTGCTTCCATAACAAAAGCCAGGTGGCAAAGAACGAAAGCTGTTCCTTTGGCTTTCATCTTCTTAATAATCTGCAGACCCTTCCATCAATTTATCATCTTTGTATTGGTTCAGCTTTGTGTGGGAAAAAAATTCTTTAACATGCCTATATTTAAATGTAATGTGTCTTTGAGGCAATCTTGTTTAACAGCATGTGATGGGTACAACATTGCAGGAAAACACGTATTGTACAAAAGATGTTCTGAGTTACCATTTCCAATAGGTCTTGTTCACATGAGACGATTTGATTTGTGCTCTGTGCAGTGCCATGTTTACCAGCACAGGGGTGCATGGCCTCTGCTCCCAATGTGACATTCATACGGATGCAGGATGAGTTTGGGGACATGCATCCAAATGGATATCATATTGGGAGCAGCACCAGTGTCTGTGCAGCTTCTGCATCCCAATAGTCAGCTATGGGACTGCCAGTGTGCACGCAACATCTTTTGCATACCCTTTCCAGTATACATGGTCCTGCATGGGGCACAGATCAAATCACCCTGTGTGAATGAGGCCTTAGGCTTACCATACACTATACAATTTTCTTACAATTTCTGTCCAATTTCCTTTACATTTACCAACTATGAAATGGAAGAGCCTGCCTAAGTTTTGTTTAGGTTTGACCTCATATTATATGGTTTTTGGTAAATCTAAAGCAAAATTCTCAAGCAAATTGTATAATGTATGGCCAGCCTTAGACTGGATGTATGAAAACTGCAGCATAGGAAATGTGAGAAATACTAGAGCTGTTTCCAATGTCTTCCAGAGAGAAATCCTTTTAATGGAAAACTTTTTTTTTTTCATTTTTGCCAAAATTACAAGTGAAATCAGAATATGGACAGCATAGCAGTTTGTGGCAAGAGGCTTCAGTCCCACTCACATGTACCATCAACTTTTCCCGACCTTTTGCCACGAGTCATGATCAGGGACAGTCTGACAACTCATGGGGCCCCGGGCAATTGGAAACCATGGGGCCCTTGTGTCTTCGCCCACAATCAAACCACACCCAAAAAAGTCTATGAAAGGTACCAGGGGCATCTCATGGGGCCCCCTACTGACCCCATGCCCTCGAGCAGTTCCCAAGTGCCTAAATTGTCAGTCCACCCCTGGTCATGATGGTTTTCAAAGGCAAATATTTCCATGGATATGCTGGAAAATGTTTTTAGGAAAACTCTATTTCTCAATTTTCTGGAAGTCAAGAGCCATGTACAGGGCGCATTTATTCATGAAAAATGGACCTCTATGCTCGAAGACTCTCATGATAAATTTCTCCTAATCTGGCAGTCATGGCTCAATGACTCTTCTACCTCACAGCAGACCTCATGCAGAGTGACCACTTTTTCTGTTTTAGAGTCAAGGCATGCGGTAGTGCTACCACCCTGTCTGCAGACTGCTGATTGAATAATACAAGTGTAGCAACACACTTAAAGTAGAACTATAGGCAAAACTTTTTTCTTTTAAAGTCTAGATGGTGTAAAGGAGGGTTATAACCAGGGGCGGACTGACAACTCATGGGGCCCCCAGGCAATAGGGGATCATGGGGTCCCTGTGTCCTTGCCCACACTCAAAAAAGCCTATGAAAGGTACCAGGGACATCTCATGGGGCCCCCTACTGACCCCGGGCCCTCGGGCAGTGCCCGAGTGCTCGAATGGTCAGTCCGCCCCTGGTTATAACCCTATCAGGTTTTTTTTGCCATCTGTGTTCCATTAAAGGGATTTCCCTTTATTTTCTGGCCTATATTCACAAAAGGTAGTGAGAGGAAATCCCTGCAAATTAACCATTTACTGACCACTCTATAGCCAAAAGGTGGCAAAAGTACTGCCAGCTAGTTCTGGGAAGGCATCTATAGACTTCCTTACAGAGCCACGACTGCCCCCCATCTACACTGTGGGGTGTGCATTCAGCACACCCTGTAATCGCAATGTCCTTTGGGCACAGCAGATCACAGATCATGGTAAAGGGCCAATCACATTGGCCCTTTACCATGTGATCAACTGTTTCCAATCACAGCTGATCACAATGTAAACATGCTTGCCACATATCGGTATTACTTTCCTCATGGGTTTTCACAGCGCCCCATCAGTGCTGCCTATCAGTGCCGCCTATCAGTGCTGCTTATCAGTGCCTATCAGCTTAGCCTATCAGTGCCCATCAGTGCAGCCTAATCAGTGCACATCAGTGAAGGAGAAAATTACTTATTTGCAAAATTTTATAACAGAAACTATGACAAACTTTTATCAGTGCCCATCAGTACTGCCTCATCAATGACCATCAGTGTCACCTCATTAGTGTAGCCTCAACAGTGTCCATCAGTTCAGCCTACTGAGGCACTAGCCCATCAGTGCAGTCTCATCAGTGCACACAAGTGAAGAAGAAAAATTACTTATTTGCAAAATTATTTAACAGAAAGGAAGATAACGTTTTTTTCAGTTTTTTTTAGCAAAAAATAAAAAACCCAGTGGTGATTAAATGCCACCAAAAGAAAGCTCTATTTATCTAAAAAAATGATCAAAACATCATATGGGTACAGTGTTGAATGACCGCACAATTGTCATTTATAGTGCGACGACGCGAAAGCTGAAAATTGGCCTGGGCAGGAAGGGGGTGAAAGTGCGCTGTATTGGTGTGGTTAAAGGAATCTCTCAGGTTCCCTCCCCTATATTAAACCGACGGTAATAAGCAATGGGGGAGTTTTACTAAATTTGGAGCATTCAGAATCTGGGGCAGCTGTGCATGGTAACCAATCACCTCTAACCTCAGCTTGTTCGATTAGGCTTTGACAATAAAACCTGGAAGCTGATTGGTTTCTGTGCACCAGATTTTGCACTCTCCAGCTTTAATAAATAACCTCCAATGTTTTTGAGTATCTGCCTGGTGTTCAGCTTTAAAATATTCTGGTTCATGCAAGCTGCCTGAAAATTGGCACAACCTTATTATAAGTAATGACTAACTGTGTGTTTAAGGGAGAGATAATGTAAGAGATGTGGATAATGTCAACAGTACACAGATTACTCAGGATTATCTGGCCATGCCACAACATTGCCAAATAAAATACATTCTGGGCATACTTTGGGGTGTATTTATGAGAAATAGTGCAAAGAATAATAAAGGTCGATTGAGATGGGCAGATAAGTCCTCGAGAGTAAGTAGCCTATCGCTGAGCAAGTTGATGGAACGCCATGATAGCTTGCTGATAGTGACAGAAGTGTTGCATAGAAGATTAAACAAATACTTCCACTTTTCCAACAACCATTGGAAATATTCCTGTGTGATAACAACTGGCTCTAAACGTTGGAAGAACTTTCTATGAAGGTCAGGAACAGCCAGATCGTGAGAAAAGTCTCTTCAACTGGAAAGAGTAGAAATCTCTGCCAGGTTTATAGTAATGCCCGTAGCGAAAAAAGGAAAGGAAAATTAGCGCAGGGCAGGCATGACTAGGCCTAGAGTGGGAAGGAGAATAGAAAGGGTTAATGATGTGCCAGGGGGTGTAGAAAAGTATAGCTGGGGGTGCTGGTTGGTGGAGGGAGAGCGTGGGTGGGCTCTGCCGCACCTTAGGGTGGGGTGTCCCGGGGGGGGGCATCATTCGGAGCTGGACGTTGGTGAGTGAGATTCCCTCCCGCCCTCCCTATTATAGGGAGTATTGTGTTCCTCTCGGGGGAAAAGGGGGTTATTTCGGTCTTGGGCGGTTGTTGGTCTTGGAGGCGGTTCTTATCTTGGAGGTACAGATAATGGTGTGGGTACCATCGGTGGTATGGTGTGCCCGGGGACATTCCAGTTAACCAAGGTTTAACTGGAAGGTGGTGGTGCTGCACTGCGGACGGTATGGTTGTCTCCGAGCTGGTTGGTTGCGGCTGGAGGCCTTTGTGTAATATGGTTGTCCGCAGGTGCATTTCAGATCATTTTTGTGGGGTGCCTTCAAAGACCAACAACAACAACTCTGTATGTTTCTGTTATAAGGAATGGTTGGTGTTAAAATGTTTGTTAATAAAAGGCCATGTTGGCCATTTACTCCAAAATTGGTGTCATGGTTTATATTTAAGTATAGTAAGGGGGGGGGGGGATTTGGATGACCTATCTCTGGTGCTCTAGTCATGATGTCCATTGGTGAGATCTACTCACTTTCTCTGTGGTCCCAGTGAGGGGTAGTGAGCTTAAAACTCCCCAAGAGGGACATAAATAGGAATAAAAACCTGATAAAGTCTATAACTTTTCCCCAACAAAAAAAAAAAACACATTTTGACTGTAGATTGGCTTCAAGTTTGTATAACAGCACCATCCATGAAATGTTTGCCCTGGGCCTGCCAATGCCTTCAGTCTTGGTAGCCTTGCACAGTGGTGTGCCTAGTCTACAACTAATGTTGCTTTCTAGAATCAGGCTATGCCAGTCTATCATGGGGTGTAAGCACTCTTTATAGTGTAGTCCCAGTGGCTAAGTGGTTAGCACTTCCACCTAGCAGCACTAGGGATGTTTCTTCAAATCCCAACCATGGCACTACCTGCCTGGAGTATGCATGTTCTCCCTGTGCCTGGGTGAGTTTACTCTGGGTACTCTGATTTGCTCCCACACTCCAAAGACATGCTGGTAGGTTTATTGGATCCTGTCTAAATTGGCCCTAGTATGTGTATGTATGAATGTGAATTAGGGACCTTAGATTGTATGCTCTTTGAGGGTTAGAGACTGATGCGCATGTGCAATATATATGTAAAGAGCTGTATAAATTGACAGTGCTATATAAGTACCTAAAAAATAAAATAGTCCCACAAAGAGGTTGCTGTGGTGCCCTCCTGTCCATCATCCATGCTAGGTAAGGGTAAATAAATTTCTAGGGAGAGAAGACACAAATTAGCGGTCACTGAAATCTCATAAGACCTCCATGCCTGGGAAGAACCAGTATTAAATGGCCACACATGACCCTTGTGCTGCAGGTAGGCATCAGGGGCGTATGGGGTTTATTTTACTGATCTGTGATATTAATATACCACCTGAGACAGATGGATCACTTACCCTTGTGGTCGTTGTGCCCTTGGTTGCCTCTTATACGTAAATTCATCAGGGGCCTAGAGGTTCTGTTGCAGAATAGACAAGGAAAGAAAAGGTGATTTCCATGGGGAACACCATATGTTCTTCCTTCAGACAATTTAGCTAGAACAGCATTCAGTGGAACCTTAGGGTTCCTCCAAAGGTTGCTAGGGGTTCCTTTAGCATAGATAGACTGACCTCTTGCTTGATGGTGTTCTGCAACAATGCCACTCTGCAGAGTCAGAAGAATGGGGCCAGTGGGACCTGATCTTGAACATAATAGCTATCTGTAGAGGGAGCAGTCTTTCCTCTGTCCCCAAAATATAGGGGCACTACACTGGCCACCATTGTAATCCTAGATTGTAAGCTCCAAGGAGCAGGGCCCTCAAATCCCTCTTGTATTGAACTGTATTGTTTCCCGTTATATTGTAAAGCTCTGAGCAAACTGTTGGCGCTATATAAATCCTGTATAATAATAATAGGCATTCACACTGACAAGTAGTGCAACAGGGCATGTTTTCAACCGATCACCAGTGTAAAGGGCTCTTTTTTCTCATTTACCATCCATGTGCTATGGCTGTAGATCTAATCATTTGTAGGATTATGCTTTGTAGAAGAGCATTCTTTACTCTATCCCCAATATATAGAGGGACTACACTGGCCTCCATTGTAATGGGCATTCTCACTGACCAGTAGTTTAACAGGGCATGTTTTCCTCTGACCACCAGTGCAGAGGGGCCCTTTTCTCATTGACCATCAATGTTCTGTGGCTTTAGATCTAATCATTGGTATAAGGGTTTCCCTGAGGCCTGCAAACTATTTCAAGGGCCCCTCCATTTTTAAAGGTTTAGAAAGGCTGCTTTAGGTCATAAGGTCAGAGGATATTTTGTAGTGCAGTTATCAACAATCCGATGCCTTGGATCCTTGAACTTTTATGTCCCTCTCTAAATTCCAGGCAGTTCTTGCAGTGAAAAGTGCCACGTGAGGACTTTTTCTTCCGTTTTCTGTGTTTGTTCATCATCTGGATGGCAGGAGTTTGCTCTGTTGATCGATATCACACACCGCAGCGATCTGTCAGCAAGAGCCTCAGGAATGGATGTTTGCATTGAAACTGCCTTTTCTTCTGTTCTTGCACGACAAGCAGGGCCCAGGCCCGTCTTGATTCTACATGAGATTTCTGCCATGTGGGAGGAAAGATCTTCTTGTTTTTTAACATAAAAAGGAGGCTTTTCAACGTTACAAGGCATGCAGCGACATGCCAGCGAATAATGGATGAATGTGAAAATTAAAAGTACGATTTACAGAGCAGGCTTTTGATGTCATGGCGTGATTACCCCGGGCGCATTAATGATAGATGATTATTTTTGTTAATGACCAAGCCATCACGGAAGCAAGGAAATAGCATTTCAGACGGGGTCCCTGCCGCAGGGCTTTTCTCCAGTAGGATTAGAGCCATCGTACTAATAGGACTTATTTACAAGAACGGGAACAGAAGAGAGTTGTGTTGTCCATAGCAAACAGTTGTAGCCTAACTTCCAATTGCTATCCTTCCATATGCACAAAGAAGCTTTTAGGTTACTGTAAGCTGTAGGACCTCCAACAGTGGTTACATGTACCCCCCACCCGGGTACTACAAAAGGTACACCTGCTTGTCAAACAAACCATAGTATAAATGTTTGAAAATGTACTAAAAACAAATTCTTATAAAAGGCAACTGTAATATTTAAAACCCAAATTAAAGCTGACCCTACACTGTGTGACTTTCAGCCAGTTCCTGATGAACAGACCAGATTTTTCTTTGTGGATAGCTCTGTTGACACCCACCCACCTGACATCCTTTAATTGAAAAATTGAAAGGAGTCAGGTGGAAAATTGATGGACGAACAGCCGCTGCATCCAATCAGATCCCAGTCCCTGTTGGGCATTCTGACAGCCAGTGTTTGCAGCTGTCAGGATACAATCCATCTATGCTGTTAGATGGAGGGGTCTGTTAGGTCTGCAGACTGAATGAAAAATATCTAACAGTGTATGGCCGGCTTAAGTCATAGAAATAGATAAGCCATCGGATAGATGTTACACTAACAATCTCCATTTTCTCAGTCTTACCTCCCCTTGCCTCACCTGCAAAACAAGTCCATTTAAGGGCACTTGTGATGAGGGCTGTAACTAAATGCAACATTTAGAAATATTAATTGTGCCTAAGCAGTTCCCATAGACATTTACCTTATTTTTTCTTAAAAACAAGAGTGCACACCGATGTGGGGATGCCCAGGCTGCATATCTGCAGTATGAGATCTAAGGCACTGCTGCCTCTGACTACTAGACCCACAAGGTTTAAAATAGTCATAGGCTGAATTAATTTTGTCTGGTTCCCGATAAACCGGACGAAATTTGAGTTGTGGGTGGCTTGTTCAGTACTCTCCAGCCTGACATCCTGTGATCTGAAAATCAAAGCAGCCAGTTTAAAAAACTGTTGACCAAAAAGTATCTGCATCCGATCAGATATCTGGGCATTCTAACAGCTGCTGCTGCTGGCTGTCAGAGTACAGTAGACTGCACTGCAAACTTTGACTGACCGAGAGAAATCTTGTATGGCCAACTTTAGAGTGAAATTTGGTGATGGCACTACTGCTACTCACTGTTCTCCATGCTGGAGGCTCAGACAAAAGGAAGCAAAGCTCTGCCTCCACCAAGATGGAAGATGGTCACCTCCACAAAGAGACACAGTGCAGAACAATGCATGGTAAGTACCTCTGCCTGCCTTTTTTAGGGGAACAGCTTCCAGAGTTCAGTTCCTCCTGAAAGTATTTGAGGACATAGGAAAACAAAAGATCAAAAGCTGATGGTTCAC